TACGGGTATGGCTCAACACATCTGAGGCATGACTGACTCAGAACTTACGCAACGAGCTACGAAGTGCACTTATTTGACAGTACTCAGGATGAGATTAATAACATTTCGCGACCCCAGGGGCACCCCAAGGACTATGAGAATTGAAAAATATAGGTCAACTCCACGGAAAGTGAACTGATTGGATCCACAATTTTTGGGCGCACAGAACGCGATTATGTAATCGGATTAGCAACGCCTCACTTATTGCTAACACTTTTGCATTACAGTCACGTACTAACGGTTTGAAAGAAGAAGCGGGATCAATTATGTGCTTGGTTGTCATGAGATGTTTTGCAATTGATGCCCCCGGGTTACGTGTGACCGTTTGATTACTGGGCGTGGGTTGCGTCATCGACTTGACCAACCACTTTGGAATGTGTTTGGCCATCCGCTGTGATAATTGACGATTGGTTCTGCCTATGTATGCGTCACCGCAACTGCAAGTAAACTGGTATACTGTGTGTGAGACAGAACTGGATTGCCAACCATGTACATGTTTGTCCAAATCGATTCCATGAGCAGAGGCAATAAGTCGGAGTTGAGCAGCTGGGAATGTGTGGTTGTGAGCTGACTTCAACTTTTGGTGCACATCGTTCAAAAGGTGATTGCCTTTACAAGATAGTTCGACATAAACGGCTTTCTGGGGAACAGTTGGCGATGGGTTACCTTTTTGAGATTGTTTACCGTGAATATCAATGAATCCTTCGAGGTAACTGTTTCGTAGCAACGACGGATAAAGGGGACCCAGTGTTTCATGTACCAGTTTAGCAAGGTCCTCAATCAAATATGTTTGGTAACATACCGTATTGAGTTGCATCATTTCCATACCAAATTTGATAAATATGGTTGGTTTGGTTACCAAGACATTGCACAAAAACAAAAAGCGAAGGTGATAGCATTGCGAACACTATATATATAGTCAATGCGATCGTGATTTGGATCAGAAAGAGATAACCGAAGTTCTCCGATTACAGTTGAGGGCATGAACCCATACCACATAACGGTAAAAAATTGTTTAGTCAGTCGACCAGTGTGCCTACTAAAATCGGGACAAGGGAGAATACGCTTGCATTCATCCAGATTGGAATGGCATAACAAGAACGGAGTAAAATGTACGTAGGAAACGGATTGGATCTGTAGGCATGGGTTTAAACAGCATTCATAGGTAAGTGGCGATAATTTGCTAGGAGTGCAGCCGATGTTATTATAAACACTTGTATGGTGCACAATACTTTGAAGCACATCCATAGAACCGATCTTGCAACCGTGAAAATCATCACCTCACGTCTGAATAGCTCTAAACAGATTTCTTTGCACGTATTTCATACTATGAATGAATCCCACGATGTTGTTCTGTGCTTTTTCATTCTCGACACACGGTCGGTATCTTTCGGCTGAAAATTTAGTGGTCTGGAATGCAGCCCGAGGGACCAGATATTCACGTTTGGTGTTTGACTACTCACAAAACATGAGTAGCATGGATAGGATAATAATACAATGGCTCTGCAGTTGAATTCACAAGTAACTAAAAAGGACATCAACAGTTTACTCATGTCAACCTAAAACCAGAAACAAAGAAACCCGTTCCACTCACTGTGTGATCGATACCATCAGACTGGTTTGTCGCATCCAGCGATCCACGTCTCCCGTTCGCGAACGGAATTACCAAGCGGGCATTCAGATCGCTTGTCGCACTGATATCACTGTCTGTATTCAAACCCAGTGCGGCAACAGTAGCCGGGGCGATGCGGCTGTCATCGATGGTGTTGGTCTCGTGTGACGCACCTTCACCCGGCTGATCCGAGGTCTTTGTGGTTGTCGTACGTAAAAGCGCGTTACTGGCCCACAACCGAGCTTCCTGGGCTTCCATGCGTCTCCAGACGGGAAATTCCCTGAAGAACGTTTGACAACGAGCAAGAAAAACTTACACATGCGGAGTAGGGTAGCACTTAAATCATGAAATTAGACGGCACGGCTTAATTTAGATCGGTCAACACAAATAGTGCGTTGAGAAATGGATGATCTTTGAAGTATTGAATCCCTTTTAGCCATTTCATCCAATATAGGGAAAAGACCAATGTTAACATTTCTTTAATCTTCTCAAACGCACATATGCAGCACAAGGGATTGTTCAAACATGGTAAATGAACGTGTAAAAGCATACAAAGATTACTAATTATAGATTGCTATATATTACTAATAAGAGAGGTGGGAGGTAAACTCTACGCTAAGTGGAGTGATTGTATCAATTAAATAAGCTGCCGAACATATTCTCAACTGGTTTGTGAAATCGATGATGCAACCGATAGTTGATCGTCAAGTGGTCAAAAGAAATCCAGAACCATCCGTTACAAAACATGTTATGACCACAAGAAACACAGTTGCCCCTAATTTGTCTTTTAAACTGCTATTACGTAATGCCAAACTTTTGTCAATTAGTGAGGGAAACATTTTCGGGACGTTTTTCCTCTCTCTCTCTCTCTCTCTCTCTCTTTCACTAATGTGTACAGTTTTCACTGAACTTTAGGCTGCACGCCTATAGAAGTTATAACTACAATGTCATACAAAACGAGAGACAGTGATTTTACCTAATGGCCCTGTGCATTTCATCATGTCTCGTGTTTATGTGATTTTCTTCAGCCTTCGGCAGCAAATGCGAATAAGACAAGGTTCGCTAGATGACCGTTAGGCACTCGCAAAACGTGTGCTAAACATTGAAGCCGATTGATGAAACAGTGAATTTGTTCTCCATACATCCCAAAACACGCGACAACTTATACTTAGGTTACCAACACGCTCATGCCATCCTATCCAAGTCAAAACTACGTAGGTATTGATGGTTGAAAACCTCCAGCCGATGGATGTTTTCTATTCATAGATTCAAAATTTAACTTCAGTGAAGCGTCACATCGTCAGCAAAAGTGCTTCAGACATGCAGAACAAAACTTCGCCGAAAGCACAGGATAGGCCACGGTCCTTGCAGTTTATCAGGTTGTCGTATCAGGCAACTTATCCCATGAATTGCACCACAATACTCTTACCTGAATACCGGAAATTAATTCTAAAATGAGGTCATCCCTAAAACTTAGTGATATTAACCTTTTAGAATTATTCTCTGGGTAAAATAATTTTAGGCATAACACAGTAGCAGATAAGGCCGGTTTCGGGTGCTCATAAATGATCCATTATGTAAATGGGTGGGCACTTTTTTCCGGAACCATACAAACAGTTTCGCGGTTTCCGCTGCTCGTGAGGTACGTGCAAATGGTATTCATTTTCGTAAGTCAATCTAATAAAGGTTGTATTTGAATAAATGTTAAAGATTAGATTCTCTCGAGATCACTTGATAGAATTTGAATAACGCAACTGGTGTTTAACCATGGGTAGTATCGTCACCTGGAATAGATGTTGTGCAAGCCTTCGAAAAGGCCTCTTCTGTATGTCACGCATTCTTTGATGAAGAGTACGAACGAGTATATCGATGAGGATAGCGAGCCAGCGCTACCACAAGGTGTTAGAACTTAAGTCATTAGACTGCGGTGCACACATAGGCTCGGAATGACGAGCTGGTGGGGGGGGGGGCAATGGACTGAAACACTATTTGATTGGCAATGCAAAATGACGTGCACTCCAATTTGATTTTCTGACCATTTTATGGAAACCAAAGCCACGATTGTAACCCCGATTCCAATCGGTCACTGATTCGGTGAATTCCATTCACCCTCGGCCTAAGAAGCCAGTGAGCGGTACACACAGGGGGGAAACGGCATAAAGACATGTATGGCACATTTCCCTATCATTCAAATTGGCCAAACTGCGTCTACATCGTCCCACTAATCCTATCAAAGTAACTGAACCAGTAAAACCACGAGACTCGAGCGCTACACGGTGAGCACGTAACATCACGCAATAGTCTAGCGCATCAGGGATGTGCGTGACTGAATCAAACGAAAAGCCACATCAAACTAGCCAAAAAAGTAATCCAGGTTTCAACCTGAGACTACAGAATTAGGTGAGGGAGATTTTTGGCTGACTACGAAATGTACATTACAATCAGCTTCGACAGAGGATTGGTCTAATAATTAATAGGACGTCGAAGAAACCGATTAATCGATGCATGTAGTAGTCTATTAGTGATCAGTATGCGGCAGTGGGTAAGCGGTATCGATCAGCGTTCCATCCTACCCTTGGAGGTAGTGATTTGGAACCAAACTATTACCTAAATTCCCATGCATCATACGACAGTCTCTTTAGTGACCGCTTTTTCTTTCCGAAAAATTGCTCGTATACATATGAATTCAACTTATTCACAAACCTTTGTACTTTACCTGGGAATGAGTGCTTAAAGTATGGCACAGGCACAAAGCCGAGAGAGAACATCACGTGAGAGTTCGAAAACCTGCCATTAAGTCAGGGACATATCACCGCTGTGCTTCGCTGTTGGCCGTCCACAGATGCATACGTCGCGCATATGTCGAACGGAAAGACTGGTGTGTGTATGTGTGTGCTCACACGTTTGCCTATCAGGGCAGGAATTCGAGCTACCCTACATCAAAAACCACGAAATTACGCCTTTTGCATGATCGGTACGGTGTCCGGGAACCAGTGATTGAACTGAACAGATGCTCGTTGGATGAAAGCATAAATAGTAAAGGTGATCGCACACATAAACTGGCAAAGACTCACTTCCAGAAGCGAATAACATCATCATCTTTGGCCCAATCAGCACTAGGAACCATGGTTCCACCAGAATCCACTTCACTCAAATCTGCAATAAATAGTGAGATACGGGTAACTTATGTAAACGATTTTGAGCACGTTTAACAGACAACGAAACGAAAATGCTCAATGGTATGTGCGAGTAAACGGAGCATGGAAAATCTTTCTGCACCACGGGACCATCGTTGTTTCTCCGGTATACCAAACGCTCTTCCCAGGACCGTGCTCGGGATGACACTGTCGAATCGGGAGCCAACTGAATAAGTGGATAAACATAGTCAAATAAAAAAAATACGGAAAGCCTAAATTAGCAAGTGGTGGTCGGTACGAAAATCGGTTTTCACTCCGTGAAGACCTTGCCACCAACAGCCGGATAGGGACAGTTATCACCATAAGAGGTATTTGCAGAGCCAATTCATCTTCATGCATAACATAGTTACACAAAAGTAGCAACGGGATTCAAGGTAATATCGACAGATCTCTGCCTAGTACATTCATGAGTGACCAGTGTAACATAATCTGTAGATATATCTAAAGATTGTGCGGCAATTCATTGGCAGTTGGGCGATATCGGAACGTTTCTTTGAAAAGAATAACTCAGGGTGACACAAACCACTTGAGCTGATTTTCCACCATAAATGAGAACTACCTTGTAAATGGAAAAAGGTTTCTGTATGATGCTAGTTCCATTAGACACTAACAGCGAACTATCTGCAATAAATAAAGCGGAATTTCGAAAATAACCTATTCACAGCAAAGATTTTCCATTCGAACAGAGAAGTAACACCTCTGTTTCGAACGAAATATAACAATGCTGAACTGGCAGGCTGACTTATCCTTTGAGTTATGTTACGGTAATTAGTGAGCCCTACTTAGAATGAAATATTATTGAAGCTTTGGTTATCGTCTATCACTAGAGGCTATTAATTTTCTTGCATTTCCACACTGCATTTTTCCCGCTTAAAAATCGTAATTTGTTGCTAATATTGACATTTGCTCAACCATTACTTCTTCGTTGCTTGGTTATTCATCGACTCCTACCGCGAGGGGATGTTTCAGCTGGCAGGCAACATGGAAGGATTAACAATCAAGTGGGTGTACTAGATAATTTATTGGTTCACATATAGACTGTATAAAGTCGTGGTTGCTATCACGATTCCCCTGTTCTGTTTCTGCTTTGTTCAGGAATTGGTTTGACTGACAATCGTTTACTGACATGCATCGTTTTGAAACACGTCAGGAACCATGAACATCTGTTGACCTTAGCGTATTAAATCCTAAATAATTAGGCATCCGTATCCACACTTTTGGAATCGATAAAAAA